AGGGAAAGACTCCCTCATTCCTACCAAATTTTTGTACAGGTTCCTAGGTTGGTTTTTGGTTTGTGTGGGGTTTTTTTGGTTAATATTGTCTCAACAAATTAGCAACCTGCATGATGTGGTTGGCAAATTTGATCATAAAATCATAAAGAAGTAGTCCAGTTTCAGTGCCTGGGGAAGTAAGATGGCATAAACTGAACTGGCATTTCCTTAAATCTCCAAGATGACTTTTAATTAGCCCAAGACACAAGTAAAGAGGAGAGAATATTTTAAATGTAGTTTTGACTGCTTTACAGTTAAAAGGTCCTGTGAACATGCCTTCCAAATCTCCACATTTCAAACCAACACTGAGGAGAGAGAACAGTGTATTTTTAAGTGCAGGAACTTGTAAGGAATGAGCAGACATGTGCTTATGGAAGATATTTTGGAACATGAGAAATGCAGCATTTCCTTTACAGTTGTCCTGAAGGCTCTGTAAGTGAGCAGACATGGGTATAGAGCTCCTTTAAGCTAAGAATATTTCTCTTCTTCTACTCAGGATCAATTGAAAAAGGACCAGGAGTAAAACGTTTGAGTTCCCTGGATGATAAGATCCCACCCAAGTCACCCCGTCCGCGTCGGAATATCTGGCTGTCACGCAGCCAGTCGGACATCTTCTCCCGCAAGCCTTCCAGGAAGATAAACGTGCAGGACCCCTACTACACGCCAAACAAAGGGTTAGGCCGGAAAGTGAATCCCTTCAGTGCCCGGGAGGACCTCAAAGGGGGGAAGATCAAGTTCTTTGACATGCCAAGCAAGTCTGTGATTTCCCTGGTGTTTGACTTGCATTCTCCAGAGGCGGGTGGAGGCCTGAAAGCCAGCCAGTCCCAGTTCCGGCAGGCATACAGCACAGACTGGCAAGAGCTTTCCCTCTTCCCTGGGAGGAGATGCAGATCGCTTCCTCTCTCTCCCGAGCTGCCCCACAAGGAGTATGGCCTGTTTGGGGGACTGTCCTCAACTGTGGGCAGGTGTGACCCAGCCCTGCTAGGTGCAGAGGTTCGGCAAAAACTCCTGAGTAGCAGTAAATACGGTGTGTCAGAGATTCCTCCCTTTCAAGCCAAGCCTCACAGGCCAGAATTTCTTCCTGTACCAGGACAAGAAGAGGATATGGACTGTTCGGATGGGCCAGTGGCCCAGGAGGAAAATGGCTTTTGCCCTGTTGAGAACACCTGTGGAGATCCAGCACGTAATCAACACTTAGGGCTGGCCCAGCCTGAGCCACTCTCTTACAAAAAGCTCCCAGTTGAGAATTCAGTGAACTCAGAGGGACATGGCTCCTCACAAGTGTTTGCAGGTTGTTTCCCTTCTGAAGAGATGGAGGTGGAAGATGACCTCCTGAAAAATATTCCGCTAGAGTCTACAAAGCCTCTGTTCAGTGTTAGTCCTTCCACAGGGCTGAAGAGAGAGGTGTGGCCCTTCAGGGAGCAGGATGGGGACAGTCCTGCCCCTTTGACCCAGACCTCCTCCTCCAGCATCTCAGCAAGTGGCAGCACACAGTCATCTTGTGACATATGAAGAGTGGGCTCAAACTGAACGTGTCCTTGAGGGAACAGTTGTTCCCAGTTGCTTAAACTCTGTTTTTCTGTAGTGCTGGGCTTCACATTGGAAAGAGACTCAGCAGATGGTAGAAACTGGCTGTCAAAAAGATAGCTGCAGACAGCGTCTGGAGAGATTGATCGTTTTATTTCAAACTGTGCTTATTCCCTTCCCTGATTTCCATTAGGAAGGGGGACTTCTCCTGCCAGAATGGCCCTGTGGGCCCCACAGTCCTTCCAAGAGGCAGCAGCCAGAGCAGGCACTGTGTGAAGTTTGACCTGGATTCTGGCATGGAGCATTTCAAGGCCTTAAGCTCCATGTTGGGTAGAAAGAGTCACCCTTAGGTTTTCCCTCTTCCTCTCACTGACCAGCTGCTCTAAACCACTGCAGAATTTGCATTAACATTCTGCAGCAGCACACATGAGTCAGAGCCTCCGTTTTAGAAATGGGCACAGAGATCTTTCAGAGCTATGCTGGCCAGACAGGAATGCTCTCTGGTCCCAGAGCTGCTGTGAATGCTGTTGCAGCATTAAACAAGCTATTCTTTCAGCAGCAAAAACAAAAGCCCTCACGCTGGTTGCAATCTGCAGGCTGAATCACATGACAAGTACTTTGTGATTAACAAGAAGAATCTGTTCCCTGGTATTTAATTTTTACTTTGGGACTTGGTAATGATGTGATACATGAGTGTAGTGAAGGAGGATGGGGTAAGCACTGCTTTCCTCCTTGCACAGTTCTTCATGTAGCTCAAGCCAAATGTGAGGGGAGATCTGCCCAGAGCACAGGAGGAGAGCCATATTCCAGGCACTGTCATTTCTGGGCTTCTGGAGAAACTGGCAGTGAAAGTACCAGTTGTATTGAGCTTTTGGGGGATGTCAGCTCTTACCTCTAAAGAGCAGAATGGACATCATGATCTGTTTCTGCAGAATACTTAGTTAAATACAATATCTACATCACAGCTGACTATTGCCACTAAGCTCACATTCACATCCCTCTCTGGTACGACATCCTGTCTCATTGACGTCACTGCGGTAATGACGGCTCCTTATTGAAAACCAGACGGCTTGATGGGGGACAGGAATCCCCTGCCTGGGCAAGGTGTTGCAGCCACACAAGTGCTCTTAGAGAGGACAGACAGTAGACTGACAGAAGGGCTTCAAATTGTCAAACTGAAGAAAATAAGCTTGTCCCAATGTGTGGTGGGTTTTTTTTTTTTAATAGAAAGAAGCTGCTGTCTTCATTGGCTTCTCCTATCACTAAATAGGATGATTTTTTTTTAAATTACTTTATTTCTTCTTTTCACCAGCAGGTACATGTGAAAGACACAGCAGCATAAGCTTTAATGCTGCTTGCTGCAAGAAGCATCAGAGATCCCCACTCTGGGACATGATGTACAGGAAAGCTTGTTCTGTGATGGCATTTGTGCAACATCTTGCCTTTTTCCACTACTGTCATCCTGACAGCATGGGAGATTTTTTTTAAAATCTATATTACCATTCCTAATTGAGGTATGCATTGCATGCCTGCCAAGCAAATGGTGATGCAGCGGAGTCCAGAATTTTCCAGGTAGCCTGTTAACACTCTCCCTGCTCTCTTGTAAGGATGGAGAATGTAAGCTAGTCTCTGATGGAAGCAGGATTATTCCTAGTCTTTTCCTATCTCAACAAAAGAATGAAGAAGGCTTTAGTTCTATCTTGGCTGAGATGCTTATCTTTCCAGAGATGTAACTTGCAGAGTAGATACCTACAACTTCCTCTCGTGAAGCATGTGTTAATCTGAGCAGCAGTTATCCCTTTGCAGTGGCTACGAAGAATTAAATGGGAAACCCAGTGTCAGTGAGTTACTTCAGCACAGTCTATGCCAGATCAGGCAGCTGTTAACAGCCTGTCCTTACCAAGATCCCACCTCCTGGCCCACACCTCTGTCTTCATGAAGGTGTTGATCTGTAGAGTAGTCAGTCTTGTGTGTCCTGTCTGCAGAGTGCAGAGCAGCTTCTGTGGCTGGCACCATGCCTGTGTCATTTCCTTTGAGGACAGGGAAACAGTCAGCAGCACTCAATTGCCAGCTAGTTCCCTGCCTGGTGCCTGCTTTTTTTTTTTTTTTTCCCCCCTTTCTTTTTTTTTTTTTTACATCTTTTTATCTTTTATACAGTTGTAAACTTTTGGGAGGGAAAGCATCAGCACCAGCTTCTGTTGTCACAAGATGCATTTAGGTGTGTGACTTCAGACAAACGAGCAATAGCGAGGGGCAGAGTCCCTGTGGGTCAGCAGGCTGTGAGGAAGCTGCCCGGCACCCTGCACCGGCCCACAGCTGCGCTGGGGGCACATGCATGCCTCCGCCTGCTCTGGGGCTGGCATTAGCCCTGGTGCCAGCACCCACACCTCCTCCTCCAGCTGCTGGCCTCTCACTGGCACTGACTGCAAAGCCTGTGCGGTCAGGCTTGGGCAGCCATCACAGGGACCTCACTTGGTTTCTTACACCACCATCTCTTAAGATGTTTCCCTGCCCTGAGTAACTCTCACAAAGCAGCATGGCTAAAGTTTTATTTTCTTAAACATCCATTCTAAGCATACCAGCTGATGTGCATAGGGCACATCTATCGACTTTTCTAGCTCTTTGTACTGAGGTGGAGATGTCAGAAATGCCAAGGAATAGTGGCTCTGGCCTTTCCTGGACTCTTGGGCTGCGTGGACAAAGAGGCGTACGTGTGGAACAAGTAAAAGGCCATTTAACACCCGCGAAGTGCTGCTAGATCCCCGTGTTTCCGTGGGTCTGGATGCAGTTGGCACTCACTACATCTCATCCCTTCGATTGTGTAAAGCTGAATCTAGGTTGTACCTAGTAACTCCTCCTAGATTTTCTGCCTATCTGAGGGTGCTTTTCTACAGGGGGCCTTCTTCTGACAGCTAATGAATATGAACACGAACGTGTGGTCAGCAAACTCCTTGTTTGATAGTGATGTGAAAAAGTGTTATTGTGATTGGATTTTATCATGATTTTTGACTTACGGGAGCGGTTCCTGCTCTTTTAAAACACTTTCTACACACTGCTAGGTTCCCTGAAGAGATCAAAGATGTTTATAATTCACTTTAAATCTATGTTGAATTCAATTAAATGTCTGTTATAAGCTATTTTTGTTGTGGTTGCAGGTTGATAAAATGCAACTAAGAGAACACGTGTGAATTTCTGACCCCAAAAGCAGTGCAGACAAGGGGCTGTAAAGACTTAAGACTTGGAGAGGCATTGATGTATTACGTGTAACAGAACATTGGTATTTTTGCCAGTACAACTAAAGACACTTGAATAATTCCTGTTTGCACTTAATGCTGTTGTTTATATTGCATGTCACTACATTTCTATGCAAAACAAATAACCTTTTTTGGGGGGGAGGGGAAGCAGGGGCAGCCAGATCTTTGATTAAGTTTAAAGACCTTTGTGAGATGATCTATTTTCGTATTTATGAAGGAGTTTTACGTCTTAATATTTTGCAGTCTGTAAATAGCTCAACTTGTAATTAAAAGCTTAGGAAGAAGGTTGTAGCCTGTGTATAATAGTAAGTTAACACTGCCAGAAAAAGATCTTTGCAAAACAACTTTTCTAATATTGTGGATATTTATGAATATGTAAAGAAAGCACGTCTTGTTTTTATGTTGATTGACCTTCTGACTTTTTTTTGAACTATAGAAATGGTGTATGTTTTATTGGAACTGCAATAAGAAGTAACCAAAGATGAATCCAGTTAAGTATTTTCATAATTTTTTTTCTTGGTCAGGTTTTGTAAACTTTCCCAACTTGCTTTCAAAATAAAAATAAAATCAAGGCCTGAGTCTTGTGATTAAGAGGGCAACTCTAGGTTAAAAAAGATGGTTCAAATGTTTACTTAAGCTCTGGATGACATTAATACCTGGCTCAAGATCGTATTTGCCATTAGTCCGTGCTGACTTACAAACAGGCAGAAACATTGTCCTTACTCAGTGCTATCTCTCTCATGCATCCTACTGAAGTGTTACACTGTGAAATCCATGAGACTCAAGGACTTTTCTGCTTTGCCTTAGAGTGCTCTGAGGAGTGGGCAGCAGCTTGTGACCTACAAGACAAGATGTTTTTTGATAGCACTCAGCCTGCAGGCAGCTTGCCCTTGTGGCTACTCTGTCCTAGCCCTACAGAAGTGGTGTGGTTTAAGGACCATATCTATGTCCCGCTGCATCTCCCCTTACTTAGAAGTTTGAAGATTTCTAAAGACGAGATGTGGGAGGAAGCTGGGACTCTTAACACGCCAAGAAGTTAAGTGGGAAGCTCTGGCCTGTCTCCTCTTGTTATCAAGCTATTACCCTCTTCATCTTCTGCAAGAAGTGAAGCTCATGCTCAAGTAGCTAACGTGGTCTTGACAGAAAGGCAACCATAGGCTGTTTCCTGAAAACCCACTTTAAAGTGCAGAAAAATAAACTCAAACCATCCATCAGCTCTGTGTGCAGCAAGAGAAAGGCACCTTTCCTCCTCCCTCTTCTCCAGCCTCACCCCTGGCTTCACAGCTCAGCATGCTGCTAAGGAACAACAGGGGCACCTCCCATTGAGCGCAATTTAATCAGTCAGAAGTTAAACAACAGCAAGAGTAAGAAATTTGCCCCCTTTCTGGCCAGTTCTTGATGGAATACAGAACTTCAAAACTTGAGAGGGGAAAAAAAAAAAAGAAAGCCCAGTTCAGCGAGGAGTCCTCTAGCTCTATCTGCTGGCCCAGGCTAACTTCATCTTCTGGCTGTGAGCTTTAGAAGATTTAGAAAACAAGCTCTTCACTATTTGAAGCGGGACCGATTTCCCACTGAGGTACAGTTTGTTGTGGCAGGCTGGCAGCCAGGGCCCCTCACCACTGTCCGTCTTTCTCCCTTTCTTGAGCATCCAGACATAAGCCATGATATAACCAGTCATGAATGCATCAAAGCCAGCTCGGTGTGTGCCCCCCTGTGAAGGTGGGCAGTGGGTTTCCTTTTCCTTTTCTGCAGCATGTGCTGCTTCAGTCTCAGGCATATCTGGGTGATTGCCTGAGTCTACCCTGGCAGGAACCTCTGACTTCTCCTCCACTTGGTCACTGCCAGAGGCATTTCCCCTGGCAGAGGGGCTCACAGCAGCTGCTACGTGGACAGTAGTTCCTTCGGTGCTCCTCAGATCCTCTTCCTGTTGTGTGCTGGTGTCTGAGCTGACCTCTGGTTCCATGCCCGTGGAGTTCTCCTCCAGTGGCCTGCCCTCATTGTTGGGTGGAATCTCCGCCAGCTCCGGAGCAGCTGCAGGCTCGTAGCAGCTCTGTTTTCGTGGTGGTCCCTCCTCCCCAGTCTGAGCTAGCTCCCTTTCCTTCCCTGAGCCTTCCTGCCCAAACACCTTCGCAGGCTCTTCTGTGTTCTTGCGACGCTTCCATTTGTTTTTCCGTTTCTTCCGCTTCTCCTCACAATGCCTGTCATCCTCATCAATGATGAGGTCAATGTTATGGGACTGTGGACACTTCACCCCTTTTGGACACCAGCCATAGGCCTAGGGAGAAAGAGAAAAGTCTGTAGCCACCAGCCTCCTGGTTGGATAGGATACAGCCTATCACCAGAACACGGAGCAGAGCCAGTCACAGCCTAACAAGCCCTCAGTAGAGGGCAATATTGGGAGCACCCTGCCCAGGTACAGCCCCACAACACAAAAGGCCTTCACAAAGTGCAGTGAGTGCACTGGGAGAGGTCAAGATGCAGCACACAGCACATGAGGAGAGGCCAAGGAAAGTGGGTTTGTTCCACCTGGAGAAGACCAAGCTAAGGGGATGGGGATATCGAGTTGCTGCCTGCAGGTACCTAAAGTAGAAGTTATAGAGAAGATGATAGAGCTAAACTCTTTTGAGAAGAGCATGGAGGAAGATGATATGGTAATAGTCAGGGGAAATTCTGACTAAATACACAGGAAAACGTTTTTCACAATGAGTGGTTGAGCACTGGAGCAGGGGCCTGGAGGGTTTTGTTAATCCCTGTCCTTAAGGGATTTTCAAAATCCACCAAACAAGGCTCTGAGCAAGCTTGGATGAGAAACTTCCAGAAATTCTCCCAGCCTGTGTTGTTCTGCGACAGTGATGTGCAACACCAGGAAGAGCTCCTTTTCCCCCTGAAGCATCCAAAGCCAGTTATGATCAGATCATATGTTTAGTGCTATAGCAGCACCAGAATTTGAGATGCTGGGGATCACACTATGCTACAGTGCCAGAGCCTGCAGAGAGGTAATACTTTTTTTTCATATCTAATCAAGATCTGGGGGAGGGAAGAGGTGGCTTTTCTCGCTCAGAGGACAAGCCAAGCTAATTTAGAACTTCAAGCCCCCCCAAGACTGCAATGGCTACTGTAACTCATACCATCACACCGTTCAGGGCTATAGAATCTCCTTCTGAATCTTCATGTCTAATGTAGCTTGTGGAATTCACTGTCCCCAAACAGAGTGTGCTATTGCTCTTTCCATCATGAAGCCACCTGACGCTTGAAAAATCTTCCTGGTATGGTGAAGCAAGCAAGGGGAAGTTCCCAAGTGCCTTCCTACCATTTCCTGCACTGGCCACTTGTGGCTCCTTCCAGGGAACCAGGAAGCAAGCAGGAATTCATGTTACTTACCGAAAATTTCTCACAGACAGGCACCTTATTTTCCCCTCCTACACTGTGGACTTCTTCTTCCAGAGAGCAGTGGCGATAGTCAATGTAACAGGACATGCTGGCAGGGTAGTTGCAGAATTCAATGGTGAGGTGCTGGCTGCTGGAGTCCTTCAGCTTGCAGTTCTCTCGCTTGCTGGAACAAACAAGAGTGCACAGTTACTGCAGCTAACTCACAGAAGGTACCACAGCATGGAGCCGGTGCAAAACGTGCTGCTCTCCACCAACTCCACTAGCTTCCTGCTTTTGAGCTCTACCTCAGCTTGACAAGCTGCTGGAAAAAAACTCAGTCCTGGGAGACCAGCTTTAGTAAGTAGTCACTTCCGGGAGGATTTCAAGGTTGGTTTCTCTTATGCAAACATACAGGCAGTGACAGCAGCGACACTGGGAGAAGGGGATGCACACTTTGATTTTGAATATTAAGGGCACTAAGATATTTGTTAGCCTTCATAATGTTCATGGACAAAGAAAAAATGCACCAAATGAGGTATCATGTAGAGTATCCAGCAGCCACTGCCCAATCAGGTTGAACCTGGGCAATGCAGGCAACAGGGAAATGTTTTCCAACTCCTGAGAAAAAATACTTCTGAGCCAAGAGCTGGCTAAAAGCACCCAAATCTTTGGTAGGCCCCTCGTAGCTAGAATTGTGGGTTAAAATATTTAAGAGGTCACTTTAAAAAGTATTTTTATCTTGTCAAAACAAAGCATTCTCATGTTTGAGAACAGCCATCTTAGATGTTCTCAGACCTGTCAAAGCAGCATTTCCTGATATAAAGCAGTCACTAAAAATACCATTTCTTCTCCACACAGAGCGTGACTTCAGTTTAACAGAGAGTCAAGGGGCTGTGTCACTGCCAGGGCCTTGTTTAGATTGCATGGGGAGTGCAGAACCAGGGGCCAGGCTGACATGTGAAGTTGGGTGACGTGTCATGGAACAAGAGCACAACCTCTGCCTGGAAGGAAAGTGACGGAAGCTGTGGCTGGCTGCACATGAGTGTCATGTGTGGGACAAGCTGCTCAGCGTCAGGAGGTGCAGGAAGCACCCGTTAGCTGCACCATCCCTCAAAAAACGAGTTACAACTAGCAGGCCCAACAGGCACAACTCTGTTCTCATTTTCTCTCTAGCTGAGTTTTAGGGGTTCTCCTCTGCCTGTTCCTGCCACAGCCTCATGGCACTGCTGGACCAGGGCCACAACGTGAACCCATTCTCAGTTAGGTCACTGTGCAGTCTGTCTTCTGCTGGCACCAGCTTTGAATCCTCTCTCAGCAGCTGCTCACTGAACAGACAAGGCCTGTAATAAAATGCACCCTCATGCACTCAGCACCTGTCCTAGAAATAAGAAAAGTACCCAGCAGAGTCACTCTGAAAGCACCTGTCCTCACTCCTTCAGCTAACACAACGACCCGGCCCCCTGCCCTGCAAGGACAAACAAAACACTGACGCTTTAGACACCCAAGTGCTGCTCACCACTTCTTATAAGCATACTCCAAGTACGATGCTACAAAGCGAGTCTCAAACTCAGAAGCATATTTGGTGTCGTATATTCCTGCCGGAAACATTTCCGAGAGGTCAGCAGTGAAAGTGCCAAGACTGTCTGGGAGGTGAGCATAGAAGCACTGGTACAGGAAGACCAGGTCGATGAGGCCGTTGTGGAGAATCAGAGGCTTCTTCGCTCGTATGAGCTCCAGAAAAAAGGCCCGAACGCTCTGGCTCTGGTTCTCATTGCCCTGCAAGAAGGAGGACAGTCCATGAGCGATAGCACCTGGACCTGCCGTGGCCCCAGGGCAGTCCTCAGAGCCTGCGGCATCGGAATACCACCCACAGCTATGACTTGTTCTGACCCAACAGAAAGTAACAACCTGGACATAAACCATCGCAGGGAGGCGAAAGGGATAAAGCTGCATTCAAGACCCCAGCGTAAGCTTCACTCAGCAGCTGGGAGGAGGAGACGCTGGGACTGGGGGAAGCCAGCAACCTCCTCTGAAGCCTGGAGCAGAGGAAGCTGAGGCAACCCCGGGAGAGCTGTGCTGTACCTTGTCGTTGCCCTTGTGGTAAGGGATGCCCTGGGAGTACTGCTTGTTGAAGTCGAAGCCGTGCTGCACCAGGAACTGCACCGACTGGGGCTCAACGATGTAATCCTCCGTGCAGAGGAGCGTCAGGTTGTAGATCTGGCAGAGGTATGTGTTCTCCGACTGCAGAGGGAGAGCGTGCAAAGCGACACGGGG